AAAGTCAATGGGAAAGTCAAATTTACTTAACAATAGTGTTACTAACTTCACAACCGCAGTGATTCACTTAAGAACTGCAACAAGAAAAATCATAAAATAGGGCAAACTCATTTAATAACTGTTTTTCAACATAAATGTTGGGTTCAATTGTGGTCATAAATCGAGGACTATCTTTATAATCCCTTGGATGGAGAAAGGGTAATCTCAAAACAGAATTTCTGAAAACTGCATTAAACAAGACTAGCTACTCAAAAAAAGTGGCTTATATTATAAAATGACTAGGCCTTCTTTTTGGAGGGTTCTAATTATTGACTTATCTCATGGCAGTGGCACCAACAGCCCTGCCCAGTAGGAGCCACTTGCCGCCACTTGCACACATCACCCTGGTCTCCATTTTGCCGGATTGATCTGGAGCATTGTTATCGGCTGCAGATGCCTTCCATGAAAGCCCTCTGGAAGAAGAAGTGGCTGCAGAAGAAGGTAAGGCAGATATTGGGGTACGCAAGGCCTGGTAAGTAGGGCAGCTCCGCTCCCTATTCCCAACCTAACTTATTTTTTACCTGTGTGCTTCCCCCACCCCTGTACCCTGAGGTGGGTGGGGCTCAAAAACGTGATAGGGCTTTTTTTCAAGGTGGGTCGTATTTTTGGAGAACCATGGTATGTATGTATGTATGTATGTATGTATGTATGTATGTATGTATGTATGCATAAAATGTGTCCTTCATAAGAAGTAAGAAAGCTGAAGCCATTTGAAAAGAGAAATAAGAGAAGAATGGGAGAGGGTGGAGCTAAGATGAGGAAGTAGCAGTATAGTAGCTTTCCCATTCCTACTTTTCATTTAGGAATATGACTTTGAGTTATCAAATATAATGAAAATATGTTTAAGTTCATAATGCAATTCCAATCCAAAATACAGAGATATGATCTCCATTGTCTCATCACTTTCAAAATATTAAAATAATACAATTCTATAAGAAAATTGCATGATTCCAACTTTGGGAAATTTGTGGTAATTACTCAGAGATCTTTGTATGGTTTTGCTATCCTGATTTCCCAATTTTTTAATTACTTGATTACACATATTTTTCTGAATTTATAAGAAAATATGAACAACAGTTATTTTTTAAAAAAACATACATGACTATGGGGTATACTATGCAATGGCGCAAACATTTCTAATTAGGTCATTAAGCATTGCTACAGTCATATCAGAGCTTCTCTACTACTAGAATAAAATTTAAAGTTCCAATTATCTTCTGCTAAACAATTGCTAATTTCCTGCTGCATTCTCCATGTAGCCTTCTGTACTTTTAATAAGAGTGGTGTTAGTATGCAGCATATATGCCACCAGTAAATATGCAACTGGCATGGGGCAGGGGAAAGACCCTGAACTTTTTTGGACAAGAACTATTATAATGGAAGAAAAAAGATCCTTATTAACAAATTTTTTCAGTAGAAAACAAGTAATAAAGCTTATAAGTCTGCTTACCCCAAAATATTTTTAAAAAATGTTATATTGCAAATACAAATAAATTCTACTGCCAGTAGTATTTGTTTTAAAAAGCTGACATAATTTGTTGTTTTAAAGTAAGATTTAAAACACAGGTAGTCCTCAACTTGCAACAGTTCGTTTAGTAACCATTTGAAGTTACCATGCCATTGAAAAAAGTGACTTATGACATTTTTGACACTTACGACTGTTGTAGTATCTTCATATCACATAATCAAAATTCAGACACTTGCCAACTGCCATGTATTTATGACAGTTGCAGTGTCTCAGGGTCATGTGATCACCTTTTGTGACCTTCTCACAAACAAAATACCCAATTTTATTTAGAGTACAAATATTTTTAAGTTTGTCTAATTTTTTTATAGTTGGATCCACACTACTTTCTTACATTAATCTAAATCATGGGAACAACCTAAAGTTTAATAAGAAACAATTAACAGCATGCAGTCAATTGTTACACGCAGCCAGAAACTGATTTTATCTAGCAATAGATTATATATTACAGTAACTTCTCATCATTTATCATCATAGGAAAAAATCTATATCATCTACTATTAATCTAGACATGGCAATTTGCAGTTGAGGCAAGTCACTTGTTGAGATGGGCAGCTATAAAAATTGAATAAACAATTTTTTTAATTTATTTTTATTTATTTTTATAAGCCGCCCTTCTCCGGAGACTTAGGGCGGCTTACAATGCGTTAAGCAATAGCCTTCATACTTTTGTATATTTTATACAAAGTCAGCTTATTGCCCCCACAAACTGGGTCCTCATTTTACCCACCTTAGAAAGGATGGAAGGCTGAGTCAACCTTGAGCCTGGTGAGAATTGAACTCACAGTAATTGCAGACAGCTGGATGTTAAATGCTGCCTTAGTAGGACGCATTAGCCTCCTATGCCACTCAGGCTCATATTCAGATAAATACATTCAGATAGAATATTTAGGCACTGCATCGCCATTATCACTATCACTATGCTTGGGTTCCTGAATGAATTTTGGTATTTTGTCTTATTTATATCTTATATTTTAAATGATAACAAAATTCCTATAATGACATAAGTTAACATGCATAAAACATATACAATTTACTAGCAAGTTCTTGCAACTTGTTTAATGCTGCAATTCAGTAAACATTTATAGAAAATAACTCCTATACCAAAAGGTAGGAATGAGTTTCACTGTGTGGTTAACAACTAAAAATAGGATGGCATTAAAAATAAAACTCTTAAGAACCACCATCTAATCAGTTACATTTAGTTGCCAGCTTATTTGTTGGACAGTTAGACTTTAATAAATTTTTACTAAATTAATAAAAGGATTATTTTTTTCTCACTAACGTAGCTAAGGAGGTTTTTTTTTTTTCTTGGAGACAATCCCATTTTATTACTTAATTTCTCAGAACTACAGCTTGCCAAGACAGAAACTCTAGATCCTGAAAACAAATTGCCATCATTACACACAGTATTCAGCAACCTTATTTCCTAGCACATGGCTTATAGTTTAATCTGTCAAATAAAACTCTTGTTTTAGCTTTCCAACTATCCGTATTTTCAAATCTAATGAAATGATGTAAACTGCAAAAGACTTAGTGGAATTACTATTTTTTGCTTTATTAATACAGCTGTGCAAAGGTAGATGAAAGTAAGAGCTCTATATGTTAATATCAACACAAGAAAATTAATATTAACTTTATCAAATCAAAATAGCTTATAATGAAATGAAATGTTTCTCTTTATAACATATTACCACAGAGAATACAGTTACCTGTAGGAAATATGTGCTCCTGTATTCATGCTTTTTAATTAGAGAGATGTTGTTTTATATTTGGTTGGATTCAGAATTGTTAAAAGAATGTATATTTCTCTAAGCTTGTTAGTTATGTAAGGCTCTGCTTTTCATGCAATTTGCTTTAACTGAATTCATACTTTGGGAGGGTTCTTCCACAAGTAGGGATAACATCTAGTATTAGTATCATTCTTACCAATCTTCAAGCAGCTCTGGATTTTCAGGCAATCTTCATAGACTGTGAAGGCAATCTTTATAGACCTCTCTGAGCTTGTTTTCTTGCAGATGTTTCATTACCCAATTAGTTAACATTTTCAGTCGTAGAAGGAAGTGAGGAAGTTTGCTTATGTGCTGTAGTTTTCTCTGTCAGAATTGTGGCTCTGTCAGAACAGTGTGGCTTTATCCTTAGCTACTTGATTAGGCTTTGTTTATTGCTTGTTTGTTTGTCTGGTATTAATCCCTACTTATCTGAGTGTATGCCTCTGTAAAATATGTGTTCTAGTCTCATGTTCCCTATTTAGGTTTTTTAATTGTCTCTTTTGAATGGTGTGTAAATGTTGTTTATGTGCCTATTAATGGTTGATTTATCTGAGTTTCAAGCTTCCAGGAATTTTCTAGTGGTTTTTTTATTATTATTATTGTTATTATTTAGTTTGCTGGGATGCTGAGTATTTCCCAAGTGAAACTCTAGTTTAGTCTGTCTATGTCACAGGTGTCAAACTGATGGCGTCATATTTCCATCACATGACATTTTGTGACATTTTTTGCCTTCACAGAGCTGGGGTGGGTCTGGCCTGTGCATGATGCATCTGGCCTTTGGGCTGACAATTTGATATCCCTGGTCCAGTAGTGGGTTCCACTTACCTTTGCTACCAGTTCGGAATTAGAGGCGTGTGCATGTGCGCACTTACTTCACTCACACATGGTGTTTCTGCATATGCACAGAACCTTCTGCGCATGCGCAGAGCATCCATGATGATGTCCTGGTGGATGGGTGGAGCCTCCCGCCACCACCACTACTGGTTTGCCTGAACTGGGGCGAACAGTTAGAAATCCGCCACTGCCCTAGTCTATGTGTTGTGAAATTATGGAATTTTCATTTTGTCTTCTGACTGATAGTTGTTGTTAATGAATGTGCCCAGCTAGTCCTACATAGTGACTATTACAAATTGTACACTATATATTGTAAATGAATCTTATTTTTTTCTTCTCAAGTTACTGAGTCTCTTGGTTTACTTAACATGCTTTGGAGGCTTTTAGTTGGTTCAAAGGCTACAGTGATACTATTTAGTTGTAGTAGTCTGTTGGTTGTTTCTGAGATATTTTTGGCAGTGATATCTTTGTCACAGTTTGTTTCAGTTGTACTATAGTAGGTTGACTGGTTTGGCATTTTTTGTGAAGATGCATAGGTATTCAGAATTATGCAGTGTAGATTTGCTGCATATCATTCATAGTTCAGGGAAGGTGATTCCACTGATAATTGGATAAATACCAGTAGTCATTTGATAATCCCAAATGGGACCAGCAATTTAGTTGTTAGGCAAAGTGGTCACTAAGTGAAACCATAATTTATAATCTTACTTCAGCTTTTCTTTGTTTAACAGACCTGCAAAGATTATAAATGCAAGATTGGTCATAAAATTGTTTTTTCATTACAGTTTAAGTGTGAATGGACACTAACTAAGGAAATTGCTAAACAAGGATTAACTGTAATGTTTTAATTGACCTGCTTTGGCCTGTGAAAGCAATTCAAGTTAGCTCAAGAGAAGAGATGATTCAGGATCCATGCAGGATTCATAAAAGGTATTCCCAGGGTGAAGTCAGTAGATGTGTAGAAGGGCAATAGGAACCTGGAATAATAAACCATATGTAAGCCATGGTGGTAGTGGTTAGAATGCAGTTCTGTGAAGCAGTATATAAGTTTAAGTGCTATTGCTATACCTCCTCATGACACCAAATGCAAAACCTAGTACAAGATTTTTAAAAAATCATGCCATATTTTGTGTTTATGCTATTCTAGAGACAAAATGTCATGGACTTTGAGAAATATTTTTTCCATACAATTGCTGATGACTTTTTTTTTTTCCAGACAAAGAGGAGAAGCATTGGAAATAGTTCGTACAAAGTCAAGAGAATATTCATAAAACATAAGTGCATTTAAAATAGTTGGTGTCGGGTTTATGAACATATATACATTAAAAAAATATTGCATTGAATTTTTTTTATCTTTTTTTCTCTTTATCTCAAAGTTCCAGTACAAAATCACCCATGAGTTTTACATTATTGCAAACATCATATCTACTGAAAAAACAGTTCATTATTTAGCTATTTTGCTCTCTACTCTATTTATAGTTTATGGATCAGGGAAAACAATCCACATAATCTGTCCTCTGGAAATATAATTTTATACCTGTTCTTGAATAGTAATTGGAGGCTCTGCGGGGAGATTCATTGTATTGCCAGAATGTAATTGCCACTATGAACCAATTAAGCAGTTATCCCTCTCCCTCATAATGGTCAAAAAGCCTTTCAAAACATTAGGTCTGGTTTGCTGTCTTACTTTAATCAAAAAACACTAATGTAGCTGTCACAGTGAAACTCATAAAGGCAAATGGCAACACCAAAAGTTTATTGGGGCCAAGAGCAGCAGCAGTAATAGCAGCAACTTGTTGAATTTTATGTGTTGAAGAAAACAAACAGTAAAGGAAACAATTATTATATCTCAGAGAAGTCTGTTGAGAATTATTCTATTAATTCCTAGTTCTTGCTCCTGTGAGGTGAATTTTTCTAAACTTGCACAACTTTCATTACACTCATGATCACAATGTAATATTTTACTTCATTAAAAAGATCTTGTGTCTGTATTTATATGAAAGAGAAAGAATTTTATTTATTTTACAGATGATCTTCATACATTCATACAAAAAAATAATGCAGCAATAAAATCCAAGCTGATCAATATTAAGCAAAAGAAGAAATGCAACATCTCAAATGGAATACAGATAAGCTCACTCATTAACTTGGAAGCTAAAATATGAGCTTCTTAAGGAATTATAATTGTCATGTTAGTTTACTGATATGCAAGTAGCAACTCTGGTTGTTCTAATCTTAAACTATGTTTCAAATGCTGTACCTAGGTATGTATTCAGTTCCACTTTTTTTTCATGGATTTGTGGTACTGTACATAACGATAAACAAATCAGTCTATTTCTTATTCATATTCTTTCATGTTATTGTGTTTAAAGTTACTACTACAACAATAAAAAACTCAGAAAAGAGAAAAAAGAGAAAGACAAAATAGATGCAGAAAAGTAGAATAGTACAATAAAGAAAAAATAGAAATATACAAAGAAATTACTTCCCCCTTCATCTCAGCAATCATAGGATAATTTTAGTAATTGAAACCTTCTTAACATCTTTTCTTAAAATACAATAATGATCTTCCCACATCACATCTATAAACAAATCCTTAAAACTCATCATTTCAGTCCTGATCACAAAATTTCTGTTATAGGTTACCAGAGATAACAATATATCTACTGTAATAATACAGTAGATGTATTGTTATCTCTGGTAACCTATAACATTGATCAAATGAACCAACCTTCCTTCCTTTTTTATATATTTTTAAACAATTTTGATATTTAGTCCTTTCAAATAATGTCCTAAATATTGATTTTTTTTTTCATTTTTTCCTTTTATCATATCTTACAAAATTTATCAAAGCTTTAAGACTCTTTTGTAAATTAAATATAGAAAAAATATTCAGGTCAATCTGTTGCTTGCTATTTATTAAGACATCAGCCAGTTTCTTTTGTATGTCCAGTTAGCATCTTTTTCCATATCATTCTTGTTGTTTGTTGTTTGTCTCATCCAATACAACTTGTTCCTCTTCCATAATACTGTTTGAATAAATTTAGACACTAAAATTAATTTTTGTGTCCATAGGTCAAAAGTATCATTTCATATTGAACGATTCATGTTCTTTTTTTCTGTGGTAATCCACATATCTTTCTGTGTCTACTATTTCTTTTTATTTGCATTCATAATACAGTGTTTGATACATTTTTTTAAAAAAAATTCTTAGTATACCTTCCTAAATCACATTTGAATATTTTAAAGCTATACCGAATCATGATGTTGACCTTTACCTAGGTCAATATCATGGAGAGATCTTGTATCCAGAAATATTCCCAAGCTGTATAACTACAGCTAGTTAAGAGTTATTTCATCTAAAGAACCAGATTTATCAACAATTTGGAATTACATTTATTTACATTTTATTTTCCCTTATCCTACCTATTGCTACTGTAGACCAGGGGTGTCAAACTTATGTCATCACAGCAGCGTCATGTGACATATCAGGACTTCCCCTCCCTTTGCTAAACTGGGTGTGGGCGTGGCCAGCATGTGACACATCCGGGCCAGAAGTTTGACAGCTCTGTTGTAGACAAACTTTCAGGGCATTGCTATAATTGTTTGATAATGTTGCTTCAAAGAAAGTGTCACCAATATATTTATAACACTTAGCTCCAAATCAATTAATGATTTCTCCTATCAGAACTCAAATAGTGCCTTGATTTTCACAAATCACATTTTGCCATGATAGTTCCCAAGAAAGACCATCTAGGATCTTTCTAAAAGTAGGAGTGGACCTCCCAATTCCTGAAATCACCAAGTAATCAGAGAGATAAAATAGTCAACTGTACTTAAATCAAATAAGAAAACAGGAAAACAAAATCTATTTCTATTTCTATTCAAATAAAGATAATTTGTCAGGCTAAGGAAGTTACTTGGTCTAAAGCCATCTTAAAATTGGTCTAATTGGTCTAAAATTTGCCATTATCCATTTATCTAGGATTGCCTGAGAAGTCTGAGAAGTCTGAGAAGACTTGCCCAGCCATACACTTTTAGATCCCTAGTTTGACAATTGAGGCTTTCTTAAGTAATAGAAAGTGCCTCATTTAATCAGGAAAGCAACTTTTTCTTCCTTAGAGAGGCCTTAATGGTATTTACCAGAATCTCCAGGTATAATCTTGGAAGTTCTGGTAAATATATAATCCAATTTGAGTAAGTATCAATAAGATATTTAATAATAACACTGCTTCACACAATCTAACTACATCCATAGGAATTATAAAGGAAACTGATATACTGTACTTTAGCATCATAAAATGAATATTTGATACTTCCATTCTGAATCTAAAATAATGTTCTAGTTAGATCAGATCTGAAATAAGAACACAATTCTAAATTTGGTGATACAAAAAGGAAGATTAATCATCTCTTATCAAATATGTGAGATGCTAGTAAACATACAAAAAAAATCTTTGTGGGTTTTTATTATTTTCAGAGAAGGCAAGTTTCTTAGCTTTGTTTTCTAGTGTAAAAGACTAATGATGCAGTTTTTAGCTAGTGTAGATAAACAAGTTGAGGGTCAAATACCCCCTGCCATTTCTCTTTATAGCAGTGAAATGCAGCCTGAATTTATGACCTACTATTTTAGTGTGCCTAAGTAAACTACTCTCATATTTGGAAAATAAAACATCTGTTCCTAGCCTGTAAATGCACAGTTACTCTCTCTTCCCATAGAGTCAAACAAGAATACAAATCAGCTTTAGATTGCAGTTCCTTATGCTCACAGGATCTGATGTTCTTCACTTCTCTTGGAACCATCTGTGTCATGAAGGTTTTTCCCTCACTGGCTTTCAGTAGCCATTACTAAATCCTATTCTACCAACCCAGGTCATCTTCAGGAGTCTAGACCAGGGTTGTCAAACTTGTGTCATCATCACAGCAACATGGGACATATTTTTCCCCTTCGCTAAACCAGACGTATGTGTGGCCAGCACCTGAGTCATCTGGCCTGTGGTCTGGGAATTTGACAGCCCTGGTCTATGTCACTGTGTAAGAAATTATGAGCTGGGATAGCCATAACAACAAGTCAGCCAATGGGAACTGTTTGGTGATTAAGAAACAGAATCTTAGCTGTCTTAAATGGAGAGCTGTTCTGCATAGCTTTCCCTCTTGACAGCTGGCCTTGACCCCCTGACTGAACTGTGTATGTATGTATGTATGTATATGGATTATTATTGCTTATACTGATTCTGTGCTTCTGTGATTTCTGGCTTCTGCTGCATGGGTATTGTATATATGCATCATGCTTTATATTACTGTATATAAAGAAGTTTATTTTATATATGAATCCTGCTGAATTATTTAGTTGTGTGCTGGTTGGATTGCTGCAAACTCTAACAGGTTATGGGCCCAGAGCACACCAAGCACACAGTAAGACTGAACTGTAATTAAGCTGAAGGACAGCCTGTGTTATAAGGAAAAGAGAACAAGGCTGAGAAGGCTTGCAGGATGGCTGTTGAGTTCAAGGAGAGCTCTCTGCCTCGCTTGGAATAGAAGAATTATATTATTTGGGCTGAAAAGATGGAATGCTTCCTGAAGGCTAAGAGCTCTGGGATATTGTTATGAATCCACCCCAGGCACCATTAGCAGCAGCAGATCAAAGACAGCATAATAAGATACTGACCTATATCATCTTGTTTGATGAACAAGATGAACAATTCTTGAATGCAGCTGATTTAAAAACTGCAAAGGAGGTTTGGATGAAATTGACAAGTGTGCATGTGAGTGCATCAACATGCAATATTGTGCAATTATCAAGACAATTATACAGAGCCCAGCTGCAACCACAAGAGAGTGTGGAGAGGCATTTGCTGCAGATGAAGACTTTATTTATTAAATTGGAACAGTGTGGAATGCTGATTCCTGAGTTTCAGAAGGTACTGTTGGTGTAAAATAGTCTTGATGAAATGTGGGACATTGTTTCAGCTGTTTTTGAGTGCAAACCAGAACAGGACTTACGAATGGAAGCCCTTAAAGCCTATTTGATTTCTGATTTTAGAAAAAGCCACAAGGAAAAGTTTCTCAGGTGGGGCCCAAGGAGCAGAGAGATAAAAACAACATACAGGATGTCTGCAGAGATCGGATTACAGCCCAGCAAAGATTGTCTAAAAAGCAAGAAACAGAACAGCAATGCCAGAAGTGTTTCACCTGTGGTGATAAGACTCATTTAAAGAAAGACTATTTGCAAGGAAGACAAACAACAGATGGACAAGCTGTTGTTGCAAAAGTTAGCTATTGTAATAGCAGAGACAAATGGTTAATAGACAGTGGGACTAGTGGGACTAGTCAAACAATTGTTAATAATTCTAAATTGTTTTTCAGAATGGATCCAGCTGGAGGAGATGCAGTAGCCTTAGCAAATAGCCAGAAGGCTAAAGTCACAAGAAAATGCTGATTTTATATCCAGAGGAAAAGTTTAGTAACATATTACTGTATGTGTACCTGAAATGGAGTATAATTTACTGAGTGTCTCTAGTCCAGACAAACAAGGTTTTGAGATCACATTTGTAAATGGGAAGTGTCTCATAAAGAGAAATGGAAATGTATGTGCACAGGGCATAAAACAGGATAATCTTTATGTGTTGCAGGTACAAAAGGTTCAATGTGCCCAAACATTTGGAAATGTGGCACAACATGATTCACATATTCATATCTTGTACAGAAAGTTTGGCCATGCCAGCTTTAGAGTTTTGCAAAAGATGCAACAGTTTGGAGAAGATTAAACTTAAAAGGGTGTAAGGCATACTGGGACTGTGCATTATGTAAATCATCAAAGTCCAAGGTATTTCCTGTAAGGTAGAGTAGCACAAGGCAGACAACAAGAGCTATAGAGCTGGTACAGTACATGCAGATTTGGTGGGGACAATGCAAACCAGTTTGGGAGGAGCAAAGTATGCGCTGGTCACTGTAGATGACTACAGCAGATTTGGTTTTTGCTATTTACTAAAGAGTAAAATAGAGATGCTATAGAAATTTAAGCAATGGGTAAGCTTCGTAGAAAGAAGGTATAAATAACAGGTATGTCAGCTGCAAACTGACAGAGGTTCAAAATTCATGTCCACAAGTTTTCAACAGTGGTTGGGAGAATTAGGAATAAAACACAGATGCACAAATCTGTACACAGCAACTGAGAATGGCGTGGTTGAAAGACGGAATGGTGTCTTACAAATCATGAAGGACTCACTGCTGGAGGATTCTGGTCTGAGCAGGTCATATTGGGGTGAAGCCATGGTGACTGCTAATTATTTAATCAATAGGCTGTAGAGTTCCTCAATTAATGATACTAATAATATGCATTGTTATATGGGATAAAGCTATCTCTAGCACATTTAAGGGTGTTTGGAAGCAATGCATGGCTGCATATTTCAAAAGCAATCAGGAGAAAAGGTCAACCAAAGGCTAGAAAGCTCAGGTTTACAGGCTATGAGCCTGACTCAAAGAGCTATTGCTTTAGCGATGGGAGCAAAAGAATAGTGATTTCAAGGTCTGCTAGCTTTGCAGAGCAAAATTGGAACAGAATTGATGCAAATGTTTGGAATGATCCACTTAATGATGGTGACCCACTTAGTGATGGTAACTCACTTAGTGATAGTGTCAGCATTCAGGGAGGAGAAACTGAAAGACGGCAAGAAAGGAGTCAGGAGAAGATGATGACTCGGATATGAAACAAAAGTGGGTTGAAACACAGGAGCAGTCAGTGCCACGCAGGTCAGAGCAATGGAAAAAGGGGATTCCACCTGACAGGTATTCTGCTAATGAAATTTGGGTGAGGACAAAAGTGAAGCCTGTGATCAAGAGATATATCAGTCAGCAATAGGGAGCTTGTTATATCTGTCACAGTGGTCCAGACCAGACATAGCTTGTGCAGTAAGCATCTTAAGTCGTTTTACTGCTGCACCAACACAATTGCATTGGATGGGTATAAAAGGGATTCTTAGGTATTTGACTGGAACTGTGAATTTGGGTCTTCAAATACAGGTCTCTGAAGAATTGAAGTTGCAATGTTATGTTGACAGTAATTATGTCAATGATGTAAAAACCAGAAAGTCTAATTCTGGGATTGTGGTAGTGTTTGGAGGGACTTTAATTGGTTGGAAGTCCAGAAAACAAACAACTGTAGCCATTTCTATGACAGAGGCAGAATTTATCACTCTGTCTGAGCTTTGTTCAGAGGTAACTTGGTATGTACAGTTGTTAAAGGATTTAAATGTAAAAGTAAATGAAGCTGTAACAACGTTTGAGGATAATGCTGCTTTCATTAAAATGGCAACAGGAGACAGAGTAAAGAATAGAAGCAAGCATATGGATATTAAATATTGTAATGTAAGAGAGGCCATAAAATGTAAATATAGCCATGCCAGGTTGCTCCCCCCCCACCTCTGGGCATGCAGACTCAGCCTGTGAAGGCATAGTTAGTCCTGACCAAACACAGAGCAACCCGGCAGGGCTATCTCAAACTATAACAGATAGGATTAATGAGAAACGAATCTGGCCGACCATGAGGTCACAGACAAGGCAGCAAATTGCAATGGCTGACAGGCTAACATCATCCCCCACTGATAAGCAAGCTAGGAGGGAGGAAACAGTAGGAATCAAGCCTCCATCATCCAGCATGACGACAGCAAAAACAACACACCTGATTACAAGTGGGAGACAGCTGGAAGGGCCTATTACACACTCAAGGGCCAAATTGATTAATGGCATGTAAAGGCAGAGATCTCTGTAATGGTAGTTTAATACTTAGACGATGTCAGCAGATGACGAAAGCTTAGTAAAATTAAATTTTAATTCTTTTGAAATTTTAAAATTTTAAGTTTCGGAGCTCTCAGGATGTCTGCTTCTTTCTTTAATATTCGGGTTTTCTCCCGCGTAAAATTGGAGGTTTCTTAGCAACGTTTCGACAAAGTCTCATTCGTCATCTTCAGGCTGGTGTTTTCGGCTTCGTGCTTCTAGCCTGAAGATGACGAATGAGACTTCGTCGAAACGTTGCCAAGAAACCTCCAATTTTACACGGGAGAAAACCCGAATAACCAAAGACCTACATACAAACACAATATATTCAGCAGTTCAAACTATTTATAATATAACTTGGCTTACCAATTATCAGCTCTGTTCATTCACAAAGTTATATCAGAGTCTAGCCAGCTTCTTCTGTTTTCTTGTCAACCCATCAATTTTCACTATCCCATTTTTCCTCACTTGAAAATGTCTGCTTGTAGGAAAAGTTTATCATCTACCATTATATCTACCAACTTACTTATGTGGGAGATTACATGAGGACTCAGTTGCCACATAATGTTACAATGATGTTTAAAATTACTAATTCCAGTCATCAAAAATCAGCAGATTGGGAAATAGTTTTATGCTTTCCTTGAATCTGTTTAAGTTCTCCTGTTTGGAATGGTTTCAGAAGCAGTACATAGAAGTCCAGATATTACCCAGAACTGTGTCTGACATTTGATCATCTATTCTGTAAATTCCCTGTGCACTTGATTTAGTATTGTACAGAATTTTCTTTGGATTCAATAAGAATTCAATAAGTGCGAGTGGATCTCTTCAACATTTTAATTAGCCCAACTAGTACATTTGGAATTTAGGATGGCTTTGCTTTTCTCATTGACAGTAATGGGTTTGGTAAGTGGCAGAACCTGGATAATCTTGTTTGGACTATGAATTCAAATTGGATCAGACTTGATTAATACTTAAATGAGAAGTAAGTGAATTCTAAGGCTCAAACATATCTTGGAAAGTTGAGTGGGAAAGAGGAACCATCCAAAACAGAATAATAACATTTTCTCTTTTTAAGAAAATTGCATAGATATGGACCAGGAGCCCAAAACATCTTTCTTTGAAGATGTTTTATAAACATATAATTGCAATACAAATTTTATTCTAATACTACATTATTGTGTAAGGCAAAATCAAGACATGTTTCTTCTGCCTTA